CTACCAAATTGGCAAAAATTAAAAAGATTTACAATATTTAATATTGGTAAATGTAAAGGGAAACTGGCAGTTTCCTCCACTGGTGGTGAGAATGAAAACTGGTATAGCCTTTTTAAAGGACAGTTTGGCAGTATCTATCACTATTTAAAGTATGCCGATCCCTTCATACAACAATTTCACTTTCAGGAATCTATGCTATTTAAATATGTCCACATCAAGGCAAAAATAGAAGGATGTACACTGCAACAATGTTTGTGACAGTGAAGAAAACACTAATAAAATATCACATTTATCGGGGGCCAGCATTATTCTTCGGAGAAGGCAATGGCACCCCAGTCCAGTACTCTTGCCTGGAAAATCCCATGGATGGAAGAGCCTGGTAGGGTTAGGGTTAGGGTTAGGGTTACCTACCTAACCCTGAGTCCATGGGGTCAATAAGTGTTGGACACAACTGAGCGACTTCACTTTCACTTTTCACTTTCATGCATTGGAGAAGGAAATGGCAACCCACTCCAGTATTCTTGCCTGCAGAATCCCAGGGACGTGGGAGCCTGATGGGCTGCCATCTATGGGGTCGCAGAGAGTCGGACACAACTGAAGTGACTTAGTAGCAGCAGCAGCATTATTCTAAGTGTTTCATAGAAAACATGATGAGGAAACTGAGACATACATGGCTAGTGTGTGGTAGTGGCAGCACCCAGGCAATCTGTTTCTAGAGTCTGTTCTTAACTATTATGCCCTCTTTGTTGTTGTTGTTTATTCACTAAGTCATGTCTGACTCTTTTGTGACCGCATGGACTGCAGCACACCAGGCTTCGCTGTCCTTCACAAACTCCTGGAGTTTGCTCAAACTCATGTCCATTCAGTCGGTGATGCTATACAACCATCTCATCCTCTGTCACCCCTCTCTCCTGTCCTCAATCTTTCCCAGCATCAGGGTCTTCTCCAGTGAGTCGGCTCTTCATATCAGGTGGCCAAAGTTTTGGAGCTTCAGCTTCAACATCAGTCCTTCCGATGAGTATTCAGGGTAGATTTCCTCTGGGATTGATTGATTTGATCTCCTTGCAGTCCAAGGGACTCTCAAGAGTCTTCTCCAGCACCACAATTTGAAAGCATCAATTCTTTGACGCTCAACCTTCTTTATGGTTCAACTCTCATATCCACACATGACAGGAAAAATCATAGCTTTGAAGTCATGGAGTTTTGTCAGCAAAGTGATGTCCCTGCTTTTTAATATGCCGTCTAGGTTTGTCATAGTTTTCCTTCCGAGGAGCAAGCGTCCTTTAATTTCATGGCTGCAGTCACCATCTGCAGTGATTCCAGACCCCAAAAGAAAATCTTTCACTACATCCACATTTTCCCCTTCTATTTGCCATGAAGGGATGGGACTGGATGCCATGATCTTAGTTTTTTGAATGCTGAGTTTTAAGCCAGCTTTTTCACTCTCCTCTTTCACCCTTATCAAGAGGCTCCTTAGCTCCTCTTCACTTTCTGCCCTTAGAGAGTTATCATCTATATATCTGAGGTTGTTGATCTTTCTCCTGGCAATCTTGATTCCAGCTTGTGATTCATCCAGCCTGGCATTTCTTATGATGTACTCTGCATATAAGTTAAATAAGCTGGGTGACAACATACAGCCTTGATGTACTTCTTCTCCAATTTTGAACTAGTACATTGTTCCCATGTCTCATTTTAACTGTTGCTTCCTGATCTGCATACAGGTTTTTCAGGAGACAGGTAAGGTGGTCTGGTATTCCCATCTCTTTAAGAATTTTCCAGTTTGTTGTGATCTACAGAGTCAAAATCTTTAGCATGGCCAGTGAAGCAGAAGTAGATGTTTTTCTGGAATTCCCTTGCTTATGCCCTCTCATCCATACCATGGAACACAGCATAGCAGGAAAAGAACGAGGTCGATCTCTGTGACAGACCTTAAGACGTCTCTAGGATATATGACTAGAGGGAAAATATCAATGGCAAAACACTGTGATAAGGTGTAACACTGTGATACGGTGTAACACTGTATACATGGGCAAGAGATACACACAGGCATATACAAATACATATGTATGAGAATGGATTAAGGCCTGGAATGATAAGAGAATGTGTGTACAGAGATCTGGGAGTCTCATTTTGCAAGGTACGTTCTATCTAGTTGTGGTTTGTGTGAAATTTTACAAGAATGTATTTGTGCTCTCTTGGTAAAGTAATTATTGTACTGACCAAAAGAAATAGAAAAAGGTTTAATTCATATCAAAGGATTAGTCTTTTCTTCCACAGACAATGGTATAGGTAGTGGATAAAAATCTTCTACGCTGTGGCTTTTTCTAGTCTATGTAAATGACCCTATGTAAAAGGTGCCTCTTCTCTATATCTTATTGATCATTATGTTTTTCTTTTTAAGTAAGGTTTTCATGTCTAGTATTTGGGATCATGGCTTTCTGTTAGTCCACCAAGCTTCATAAAAATATATGGCCAGCCATTGAAAAATTAATTTGAAAATTGAGAACCATATAGTGGGTCTTCTGCTTTGCCTATTCTATTGTGATCAGGTAAAAGGATCAGTAATCAAGGATTAGCTCATTATTTTGTTTCAGTGCAGAAGCAGGTGGAGTGTCCGGCTCACTCTGTCCTCTTGGTGTGGTCTGTGGAGGTATAAATGAGTCACTTAGCATACACAGTGAAAGGACTGACCTTTGAACAGAAGTCAGTGTTATTATCTGCCAGGAAAAGGCTGTACTGGATCCTCCAGGATCTCTTCCTGCCTCATTCAGGTGAGGATGGCTTTAACACAGAAGGAAAGATGACGCTCCTGGAAAACTCACTGACTTAAAATGCCTTTACAAGGTTAGCCTTTAGAACTAGGTTGCTCTCCTGTGGGCTTCTGACATGCCAGTGAGAGAAGTTCTTAAAATTCTTACAACCTATCGGTTATCAGAGTGCAGATTTTTGGAGTAGCCCCTGTATCCTAGTATAGTTTATCAATTTTTGAAATTTAAATGTTCTCTTAAGCATCTTTTAGGAAGGAAAAAAGGTCCCATTTAGTTAAAAACAACTGTATTCACCTCCTCTCCATAAGGCTGCTCATTTTAGAGTAGTGTGTACAAACTACTTTCTTTGTCTTCGTTGTTTTATTTAACCTTATTTCCAATACATCTTTTCATGTACTTGCCAAAATTTGACGTGCTTGACTTGAATCCTGCATACCTGCCAGGATTCCTTCTGTTAATGTGACAGCTTGTTTGGAGTATTCCCCAAGCGTTGGACAATTGGGTCCCTTCCCAGGTTTTGGTCATTATGGACATTCTGAACAGCCCTGCTGTAAACATCTTTATGCAAGTTCTCCCCCCACCCCCCTTGGGATCATTTCCTTAGAAATGGACTTCCTTAAATGGGTTTACTGGGTCAAAGGGGCTCAATGAACAGCTTTACAGCTCTTGGCACATATTTTTCAGATTGCGCCCTGGGTGGATCTGACCAATAGCGCAGGCCGGAGAAGACAGGAATGTGGACCAGCGGCGGCCCCTCTGACCGCCCCTCTTCCGCCACCCCCCCCCCCCCTAAAAAAAAAAGGCCAAGAGCTCGAGATCTGCGGAGGGAAAGCAGTTTTTCTGTGGCTCCTCTCCTCTTCACGGTCGGGTATTGAAGCCCAGCTGGGGAGAACAATTAAGGGAGGCGCAGCGAGGTGTGGGGCAGTCCCGGGACGCCTGCCCTGGGGCGGGGGGGAAAACAAGCAGCGCTTCCAGGCCCTCCTGCCGCAGGACTCGCATTCCACCCGCCCGTTCCTCGTCCCGTTTTTGAATCCCAGGCACGCCCTCCCAGCCCTTCCACTACCATCCCCGTGGCCCAAGCAGGCCCCTCGCTAACGCGGAGCTCCGCACGCGAGGGCAGCCACCCGGCTGCCGCTATTATTCCGGCGCGGGTGATGCAAGGCTGCGCATAGCTGCGCGCTGAGTCAGCTGAGCCGGGCGGGGGCGGGGGCGGGGGGCGCCGAGCCGCCCATCCCCCCACCCCCACGCCCTGGCCACCGGGCCCCGCACCGGGCGCAGCCGGGTCGCCTCGGGGCCCGGGGTGGGCCTCCGAGTCCACGGAGTCGGTCGTCCGGGCAGGGCCCGGCGGGAGCTGAGGGAGCCGGCGGGGGGCGCCGACCCGCCCATCCCCCGCTACCCCAACCTCCCGGCCTCCCGGCCTCGAGCCGGGCGCAGCCGGGTGGCCTCTGGGCGACGGGAGGGTGGGTGCGGTGGGCCTCCGAGTACATGGGGTTGGTCGCCCGGGCAGGGGCCGGCGGGAGCTGAGGAAGACGGCGGCAGCGGTGGGGGGGTCCGACCCCCTAGCCCCTAGGTGCACCCTCCCCTCCCTTCAGCTGGAGCTCGCGGGTCCAGCGAGGCCGTGACCGCTCGCCGCCCGACGGTTTACCCTGTGAGAACTCAACAGGGGAGGGGGACACAGAGAAGGAAGGAGACTGAAAAAGGAGAAATGCGAAGCCAAGCAGACAGGAGGAAACGATTCCGCGGCCCGAGGGGCTTGTGGGTAGCGGCTGCGCGCGGCCGGAGACGAGCACCGCGCGGGAGTGTGTGAGGGGCGCGGGCGTGTGGGGCGCGGGCGGCTGCCGGCGGTCATGGGAGCCGGCTGGCCGCGGCAGTAGTTGTCTGGAGCCCGGGCTTCAGCTTCCCGGAGCCCCCAGAGGGAGGGACAGCCCCCGGGGGGCCCGGCGGTGGCGGCGCCACTTCCCCGCTCCCGCCCTCGGAGTCCTGAGGGAGCTCGCGGCGGAGGAGTGGACCGGGCGGCGCGAATCTGACTGAGGGGCGGGGACGCCGTCTGCTCCGCGCTGCTCCCGGGGCCGGGCCGGCCTCCCACAGCCCCAAGGCCCCGGGACGCTGAGCTCGAGGCGGGCGGTGGGCCCGGGCGGAGCCCCGGCCGGAGCCGGTGGTTCGAGGGCGGCGGTAGGCCCCGAGGCCGGCCGGGCCGGAGCGCGGGGAGCTGAGAGCGGGCCTGGCGGCGGCATGAGCCGACCCCCGACGACTGGGAAGATGCCCGGCGCCCCCGAGGCCGTGTCGGGGGACGGCGCGGGCGCGAGCCGCCAGAGGAAGCTGGAGGCGCTGATCCGAGACCCTCGCTCGCCCATCAACGTGGAGAGCTTGCTGGTATGTGGCCGGGGGCTCGGGAGCCCTCCTTGATGACCGCTCGAACCGCAGATTGCCCCGACTGCCCACTCCTCTGTGCCCGCTCAGCGGTGGGGGCGGGCGGCGGAGGGGAGGTCTCGCCCCACCCTGCTCAGCTTCCCGGCAGCCGGGGCCCGGGTCGGGGAGACCAGACAGTTCTGCGACCGAGTTCCGGGAGTAGAGAGACCCACCTTGGATTCTTCCCTTCTGCCTCCTGGAGCTGGTGTCACCCGCGGCTGCCCCGGTCTTGGAGCGCTGGGAGGAAGCACTCTTATTCCCTCCTGCCCTGTGGGTCTGGGGGTGGGGAGTCGGGTGGGGAGACCTGTCCGTCAGACCCCAGGCTAGCCCATCTGAAAGAGCGTCATGCTGCCTGGCGACGCGCGTCGGAGCAAGAGAGAAACCCGGTGGCTGTCCCTACGGGGAGTCCCCACCTGGGGTACATGACAAAGAATTCAGTCTGAAATCTGGTAACACACAGCCTGAGGTTTCCATGTTTTCAGTTGTCTGTGAACATTAGTCGTTACAATTCAGTGCATTTCAATTTCTGTAAGTTTAATTTCAGCGATTATTGCCCAGGAGCTATAAATTCACTTGAATTGTAGTGTGCTATCAGTCTCTCCTTTGCATTGTGTCTCTTTCCTGAGATGGCCTTGGAGATCCCAATTAATAGCCACGTAAAGTCTGCTAGTTGGCTTTGTTTAAGAAAGGAACAAGATTGATCAGAAATGCACTGTAGAATGCTTATTTATTTCTTGCTTTTGTTAGGATAGACTGTTGTATTTTACAGACTCTTTGATTAGTATGCAGTAGAGATGCATTTATGGGGAAAGGTGGGGGTGTAGGTTTTTACCCTGGGGAGGAGAAGAAAGTGAAAAAGATGTGCTGGATGTTAAATTAACTCTGGACAACTAGAATTCGGGTAGGTGATCGTTGGATCCTTTAGGTATTTCCTCCCAGAATGCCTGTTCTACTCCCTGACAGGAGAAATCTATTGACTATATGATGAGAAAAACTGTCTCCTCCCTTTCCAGTGACTGACTGACTTTCCTTCAGAAGCTTTTGGTTATCCTTTGAGGTTTCTGGAATCAGTTGTGGAGTGACTCAGTACCGTTTGGCCAAAGTGCAGGAACTGACTAAAGTGTGTCTTTCTGTACAGTGCACAGAATGTAGTGATGTACTGTGTCAGACGTGTTTGACATTTCCTTTTACTGATTTTCATGTCATTGTGTTGTTCATATGTTTTCATGGGAGCATGACACTCTGATAGTGTTTCTAAGTCTTCGATTGGGGATAGGATTGGTTGCATGAAGGGCATAGCTTTTCCTAGACCAGAGCAGAGACTCTGGGCTTCACTCCCAGCATTTTCACTTTGGTATTTTGCTAGCAAAACTCTGACCTAAGGCCAGAAAGTTCAGTTAAAAATAGTACAGCAAATCTCAAGTATTCATCAGGTTCATATTCAATCTCAGATAGAAATTTTTTGCACTTTTATCTCTTAGGCTTTACGGATGGTAATTAATAGGGTAATTATGAGCTTGAGCCTAAGCTATTTATGATCGTATGTTCTTTTTTATTAAAGTGTCTTCTAAATCATTAAAATGAAGGCTGCTTTTTAAAAAATGAAGCATTACACATGCTCAGTAAACTGCCTGGTCCATTCATTTATTGAGTGCCTAGGTCAGCCAAGACCCTTTACACCTTTATTAAGGTAACAGACTGCTAGTATGACATCACATGCTGCTGACTGGACAGATTTCATCTCTGCTGTTTTTAGCTGATTAACTGTTACGGTTCTGGGTTACAATAAATCTTATCAGGCCAAAAATTGTCCTTTACTCTTTGAGGTTGCTGGTGTTTCTACTGTAGAATAACAAGCTGAAGATTTTTTTTTTTAAAAAACCATGTTATTTACAGTGTTAGCTTTAAACATGTATATTTAATTATATCAAATACCAGAGTAGGTTACCATTTCCTACTTCAGGGAATCTTCAAATCCATGTCTCCTGCATTACCACATATTTAAAAATACCTACTCAGGTATTCTTGCCTGGAAAATTCTATGGACAGAGGAACTTGGCCTGATGGCACACACAGCCTGTCCATAACATAAAATTTACCGTTTTAACCATTTTAAGTGTACACTTCAGTGGCATTACTTACATTCACATTATTGTGCAAATATCACCACTATCCATCTCCAGCACTTTTTCTTCTTTCCAAACAAATTCTGTGAGTTAATTTTTAAAAGTGTTATAAAAACAGATTTCCTAAAACAGTGATGAGGGTCACTTTAAAGATTTGAAACCTTACTGTCAACCTTCATTGTCACAATTGATCATTGTTTTACTGTAAATGGCATTTTTAAAAATTTTATTATAGAATATATTAATATTTTTTCTTTTACAGAGACAATTTAATATGATAAAAACACAGTCACAAATCTTAGTTACTTATTTTGGAACTTAGAAAGTACCATTTAAAATTATATACTACCTAAGGTGACAAAACTAAGAGGTGAAGTATACCAGAAGTTGCTCTTATAACAGTTACTGTTATACGTACTGTAGGCCAGGCCTTGAAGGTAAAACTGTTGGAAGAAGTATTATATAAGATAACATGTAAAAGTGCTTAGCTCAGTGCTTGGTACATAGTAGTGCTTATTAAATTTAGCTCACTTCTGTGTGCTTTTACCATATTTTTAGGTAAGTGCTTTAAATTTCCTTTGAAAAGGAAAATGATTCTATTGGCAGCTGTTTCTTGCTATAAAATTTTGAATGAATAACATTTTATTTTGAATTTGCCATCAGAAAAGTGCTAGCAGTCACCAAGCATAGATAGATCTGAATTCTAAGACTGTTAGTACAGAGACTAAAGTGTCTTTTTTCTCTGCAGCAACTCAATTTAAAGAGGCTTTATGTGGATCCTTCAGACTAATCTGAAGAGCATATATCCCTTTTGTGGTTGCAGATGTGTAAGGTGTTAGGTATTACTTAAAAACAGAGTTTTGAGAGAGATTTGCTTCTGTAGTATCTGCACACCGCCCGCCCCCCCCTCCCCAAGGGAATGATCTTGAGTAGTATGGTTTTTCATTGTTTGAAACTTTTGAGTATATACCCATGTTTTGTTGTCAAGACTAAGCTTCCCATACTGCTTACCCAAATATTACGGTAAAAAGAATTGTCCTTTAGTGTTGTGCTGGAGAGATGTCTTTCTAACAGTTTGTGCTTTTTGTGCTTTGATTTATTATTTTAAAGGGTAAATTATTATTGTAACCCCTGGGATTCAGGCTTGGGTAAAGTGTTCCATTAGGCTTGTGTTGATGGGAAAAGGTAATTAAAAACTTAGGATTTTCAGTAACTTAGAATACAAAACACTTCATTTAATTCATTTTTATTAAACCTGTAAACTATGTGAAAATATTTTTTATTACAGTGGTTTTTGGTAAAGCTTATTTGATGTAACATCTGTCCTGATCTGATGTTACAGTATTTAAGGTGGTTTATCTCTCGGCGTAAATAATAATAGCTTCCCCTGAAGAAATATTGGGGTTTCCCAGGTGGCTCAGTGATAAAGAATCCACCTGCCAATGCAGGAGGCATGGACTCAATCCTTGGGTCGGCAAGATCCCCTGGAGGAGGAAATGGCAACCCACTCCAGTAATCTTGCCTGGACAATCCTGTGGACAGAGGAGCCTGGTGGGCTACAATCCATGGGATCACAAAGAATCGGACACGGCTGAGCTACTGAGCACTAGAGAAATAAGAGCGTTTGATTTCAGGATGCTACCCCAGACTCCCCGGAGTTTTGGGGACTATACTGTACATAGTATATATACTTTATTACTACTTTAAAATCCAAATATTCTGAATTTGGAAACATCTTGCCCCAAGGTAAGGCCAGCACAGACTAAGTAAGGAAGTACTGACTTAACACACACCTTAAACAGATGTAAAGAAATAGTGAATAATTATCTTGAAGCCTAAGTTGTTGTCTGTTGTTTTGGTTGAGTCCTGATCAGATAGTTCTCTTTTGCAATTTCAAATTCTGAAGTATTCTAAGCATGCTAAGAGAATATAGCATGCAGAATGGTGCTAAAGATTACTTTTGCCTTTTCTCGAACTTCGTATAAATGGAATCCATAGTATGTACTCTTATATCTGGCTTCTTTAGTTCAGGATAGTTTTTGAGATTCATCCATGTTTATTTTGTATATCAGCAGTTTGTTCCTTTTTTTATTGCTAACTAGCATTCTATTGTATGTATAACACACAATTTGTTAGGCATCTTCTGTTGATGGATGCTTGGGCTGTTTTCAGTTTTTGGCTATTTTGTATAATATACTTTGGCTTTTAATAAAGCTTACTGTAAGCAATTTAGTAGTAAGTCTTTGGGAGGACACTCATTTCTCTTGAGTTAAATACCTAGTAGTGGTTTTACTAGGTCATAGAGTAAGTGTATCTTTAGGTTTTTTTTGTTTTATGTAACTGTCAGATCTTTTCCTAAAGTGGTTGTACCATTTTACATTCACACAGCAGCTGGGGAGAGTTCCAGTTCCTTCCCAACGCTGGGTCTTAAATTTTAGCCATTCTGTGGTGGGTAGTGGTATCTCATTGTGACTTTCATTTGCATTTTTCTGGTGATTAATAACGTACTTTTTTATGCACATAGCTGGACATTTGTATATCCTGTGAAGCATCTGTTCAAATCTTTCATCCATTTGAAAAAATTAATATTCTTTATTTTTGAGTTACACAAGCTGTTTATATATCCTGTGTATCAGTTTTTTGTCAAATATATGGCAAGGTTGTTTTTTAATCACATTTTTTTTTTAATCGTTATTGTTTTTTCTGCTTGAAAGACTATTGTCTATTCCCATGTTGCAAGAAATTTTCCTTTCCTTTCTTTTAGAAGTTTTATCGTTTTACTTTTAGGTCTAGAATATATGTTAAGCCAGCTTTAGTGTGCAGTGTGAATGTTTTTCCTCATATTCCCCAAATCCAATTACTTAGCTTATTCAGCACCATTTTTTCCACAGCTTTATTGAGATATTATTGACTTGTAACATTGTATGTGTGTAAGGTGTACAAGTGATACATAATACTACCTAATGTTTACCACAGTAAAGTTAGTTAACACATCCTTTACCTCACATAATTACCATATTGTTGTTGTCATCTTGAGAATATTTAAGATTTACTCTCAGCAACTTTCAGGTATAGCTGTACAGTGTTGTTACTGTACAGTATAGTCACCAGCAGCAGTTTATAAAAAATGTTTTTCTTTTCTCATCGGATTGCCTTGCTTGGCACCTTTGTTGAAAATCAATTTACTGATAGGTGCTTTTTTATCAACTTAGTAACTGCATCAAGTCCTTAGTCATGGTTCTATTCTTTAACCCATGCTCTATTCAAAATTCTT